GACAAGGAGACAATTTTAACGATTTGGGAGATGTTTTGACAAAGGACAGAAAATGTGAAGGCAAAATCTGAATTGGAACAGCAAAAAGTGCTTCCCAAAACCTCAACAGCCAACTAACAAAATGGAAAATAATACTTAGAAATAAAGAAAAGAAATGTGCTATGTAATATCAATCATTTTTGTGTGTCAATGAATTCTGGACAATTTTGTCACAAATGTACAAGAGACTCAAGTATTAAGAAACAGTAACGTTTCATCCGAAACATAGAAAATACAGATGAACTTCTATGTAATATAAATCCTTCTCTATGTAAGTGAATGCTGGACAATTTCCTTACAGATCAAGAGGAGACTCGAGTATTAAGAAACAGGAAAGTTTCGGTAGAAACAAAGAAAAGAGATCTGAACTGCTATGTAATATCAATCCTCCTCTATGGCAGTGAATGCTGGACAATTTCCTTACACATGAAGAGGAGACTCGAGTATTATGAAACAGGAAAGTTTCGGTAGAAACAAAGAAAAGAGAGCTGAAATGTTACGCAACATCAATCCTTCTCTACTGCCGTTAATGTTGTAGAATTTACTCACACATGAAGAAAAAATCTGGATTATCAGAGTTATACAGAAGGATGATGAGAATACCATGGAGGAAAGAGTTAGAAAAGGGTTTTGGAGAGTTTGACACTCACGGCAGATACTGAAGTTAAGATGAACAGAAATTAATATCGAGTAACCTATTTAATGAACTTGTGTATATGGACAAAAGAACAAAGGCTGGGAGAGGTAGAAAGAGACAAGCATTGCATAGAACTGCAAAGGATAGGAAGTTGTTGAGAGCCATGGTCGCCTACATCCTGAGGAGATAAGGCACATGAAGAAGATGACTTTCAACATGGCACGATATAAAAAGATCGGTATGCTAAAGGAATCGACGTTACACATTAGGTCATTTCCTGTAGCGTTTCTTTGAAAAAGCACTCTAATATCTTTCTCAAGAAGACGTGATACTTTATAACAAATAAGGAAAAGGAATCCTGAACAGAGATGGCCATGAAACAATCTCTATTTAATTGCTACACTTCTTGAGAGAAATATTAAGATCACTGACAAACAATCGACAAATTGTCTTTGGTTTCTCATACACACAAATTAAACTTGGTTAAAACTCTAAAAACTTATAATCATAACTATGAATAATTATTTAATTATTTTATATATGTTTACCCAGTTTAACAAAATGAAAAGATGGCAAAGTTTAACTAAAGAATAGGCAAAAAAGTGTGTGTTAAAAGGACGTTTTATTCTTTTGACTCTGCTATTAAATTATGCTCTCTCGTTAAAGTTTATTATTTTAAAAAGCTATTATTGAAATGTTATTAAAACCATACCATCACCAGCTTTACAATACGGTAAATCATAAATATTTAGATTGTACGCGCATTTTAATAATTTTTGTAAGTATATTCTTGTAGTGAACTCTAAGAATATTTTTAAATTCTTGTAAATAATTAATTTATTGGCATAATTCACAGATTAAATTCTGTAAAAATATCTCAAATTTTTCTTTTATAATCTTTAAATGAACAATTGAATATGAAAAAAAATCGCCTCTAACATTTGTGGGTTAATTTGCAGTTTAGCACCCGCGCTCAGTTCGTATTAAAAATTTCCAGAATACTTACATTTATTTATAATTGTACATGCTCCATTTGAATCTGGCTTGATAAATTTGATAAAATCTACCATTTTGGAGTAAAATTTCGGATTCATTCGCATACATTCGCTGCGGAACAACTATGATTGCAATATACAATTGTCATGATTCTTGCGCACATAATATCATCCTCTTGCGTAGTAATTGAGACGAGCAAGATCAGTAAAAAAAAAGTCCGTTAACTACGTTCTTCCGCACATAGCTTTCCGCAGTGAATGTATGCAAATAACGCCAGTAATGGCTGCCGCTAACGACGCAAATTAATCTGAACTTTTACTGTCGATAACGCAAAAACCGTAGATTTTATTAAATTTATCAAGCCAGATTCGAATGAAGAATGTACATTTACACCAGAATGTAGGTATTCGGGAAATTTTTAATGCAAACTGAGCACGGGTGCTAAACTGCAAATTAACCCATTTTTGTTCAGTTCTCGCGAGAAAGTCTATATTGAGTCAAATTATGTTATGGCTTAGTAACTTTCTAAAAATAGTTTTTTAAAGGCAAAAAAAAAAAGTCAGTGATAATAACAGTGTCAAGAGAAATAGGTCCTTTTAACATCCTCTTCTCTTTTGTCTGATCCTCAGTTTAACTATCATGAAAAGGCATTCTTAAATGTTTATTTGGTTGTACTTACGCAATTGAAGTGATTTTCCGGGTTTAATTTCTAAATTTTCGGATTCTTTTTTTTCACTTGTTGATTTTTTTTGCTTTGAGTTTTCTAAGAATCAGAAATTAATTACATTTCATTTTAACTTAAAAACGCAATTAAAATTTAGTGAATTTTGATAATTAACCAAACTTTTTACACAACAGGAAATAATATTTTATAAGAGGAACTATTTTGTGCCCTATTACTTATCTACAATTGGGTAGTCCTCTGATGATTGACCTACAGGGTGGTCCGAAAGTCTTGTCACGTCTATATAATTTTTTTTTATCAGAGGAGGCACGATGGAGTAATGGATAGCTGCTCGGATTGAGGAATCCAGTCGAATCCATTACATTCACTTATGTGCTAATACCCTTAGGAAAGGTATGAATCCTCTTCTTTTTCTACCAGCTATGGGTAAATAGCAGAACCGGGTTCTAGAGCCTTGGGTGGCAACTGGTCTACCGCAGAAAGAAATGGCAACCTACTGCGGGAAAAAAATCTGCCTCGTCACTCATGTACTGAAACATACATGATCGCCTACGCGTGTAACACGCATGGCACGTAATTGACTGATACCAGATGGCCGAAATGAGCTCCTACAGACCCTTCTTTTAACCCCCTTGTATTTATTAATGTAATTAATGGTTTATGATATCTACAGGGTCGTCCGAATGTCCAGTCACCCTCTATATAACATGATTTTCTATTTGAGATGGCTGACACGAAAATGATTGTGTTCTTACACGACTTTTCGATGATTGTGTTCTTACACGAATTTTCATTGTCAGCGTCAATGAAAATTAATAAACTGAATCCAGTACATGTGTTTGTATTATTTGTTCTGTTGTTCCCATTACCTTTAGAGCAGTAGGACTTACTCGGGGTTAAATTCACTAAACTGTATAGAAGTTAATAATTGAATGAAAATAATCTTCTGTTACTACATACTTGATGCAGATTCTTTTTGCAATTTCTTGACGGATTTTTCGTTTTCATCGGATTCAAAATTCAGTTTCTCATCTAAAGAATAAAAATGTAATTTTCAATATGGCGTCGATTACATTGCTTCAAAAAGCAAAGTTATAGATTGTGTGCATCTCTTAGCAGATTCTCATCGATTAACCAATCAAATAAAAGACTAAACAAGACAATTAGATATCGTTCAGTTTCAGGTGAGGCAAATCTATGTTACCGGAGAAAATATATATTAATACGAGTTTCTTTTTTTTATTCCTTACCCCATAAGTAAGGAGATAAAGCCATTAAGACGAAAATTGAAGATAAAAAAAGATAATAGAGGGAAGGAAACTGAAAAAAATAACTGGAAACAATAGACCCCCCAAAAAAAAAACAGAATTCAAGGAGACGGAAGATAACGATTGCAGTTGCATTTACATTTTTGCAGATCGTAGTTGAGAGCAAAGCAAGAAGCCGGAATAGAGTTCCATAGGAGAGAACTCCGAGAGAAGAAACTATAAGAAAAGAACATGCGGTTACATTTTGCACTTTCAACAGTAACACGATGGGACCTATCTGCCAATCTAGTACTTCTCTGAAATACTTGAAGACAGGGTACCGTGGAGTAAAGCTCATCAGAAAAATTACCTTGAATTTAACCATAATGGGAGAATTATAACAGAAATGAAACTATTTTGTTAAGGCTTTTCTTCTAATAATTTTTTACTAATATGTACTTGGATGTATTTTTCTAATTGTTTTATTAACATGTAGCAATTTGATTAGGGGGATGTTTTATGACTTAATAACAGTATTAAACTGATCCCCCATTTTATGTCCTGTTTTTACCTAAGGAAGGTTACTGAATAGAATAATCACACGAAGGTTGGTAATGAACGATAATACTCAAGACAAGAACAACACATGTAAGATTCTCCAGCGGCGCTTAGAAGAGGTAGTCAACTGCTAGAAGTGAGTCAAGTGAATTCCACAATAAATCTCCATCTGCAGGATATCTACCAACTGCCCCAAACGGTCAGATGTGGCACAAGGCCGAATTTAATATGGGGTATCCGAGCCCGTAGGATCAGCCAAAAATTCCCCGTAGACCACGTATAAAACGGGGCCGGGTAGCTATTTCCCGAGATTAGACTCTGCCCTTCGACATAGCTTCGTCTGGTGATCCTCTCTATCCGGAAGCAGAGAGTTTGACCAGCATAGCTGGAGACGAATCTCCAATTGCAGACCAACATACAGTATTTACTACTGTATTTATGTGAATGAGGACATACCCATTATCGCCCGTAGGTATGCTACACATACAAATACCAATTTGACAATGTCGTAATATTGATGGTATATTTTGCTAAGTCCTTATTATTATGAGAAGATTTTTATATGTGAATCTTCAAATTTATTTTGAATTAAACCCCTGCCTTACCTATGGAATACGAACGGAAGATTCAACTTGTGGACTTGACATTGTGCTTCCCAGCGGTGAAGGTGTGAAGAGCCGGAAATAATGACTGTATCTCGCCTGGACATTTGCTGTGCGAATAACAATAGATTAGCAAGAGGCTAAGAATGTTTTGTCTGCGGGTAAAGAAGTTGTAGAGTGGAATGCAATTCGTCACACACAAAGTCGCGTAAATGCTTTGTAACTGTCAAAGCTTACTACCGTACCACGTCGAAACATTGGTTCTCGTACGAACACGGAAGTTAAGCAACGGCGAGCCTAGACAGTGCTTTGATGAGAGAGCGCTTGGGAATAGCAGGTATTGAAAGCTTGGATGTGCTGTGGCGGTGATAGTTGGGCTAGAAGGTCGTCAGGTATGGTTATATTTTTATTATCATGAATTGCTCATATTCTTTGCGTTCAGGTTTACGACCTCATCGCTTTGAAACAAAGATTTCCGTATGATCACTGAAGATAAGCAACGCCGAGCCTACACATTATCTAAATGGGTGACCGATTGAAAATACCAGGTCCTTTGATGTGCAGTTTGTGTAATGGATAACGGCTCAGAATTGGAAATCGGAGAGCCGAGTTCCAATTCCATTCTGGTTCGTTATATTTATTTACGTTCAAATACACTTGGGAAAGCTAAGAATCCACATATTCTCTCCCAGCTATTACTAGTGTCAATAAAATCCTTATTACATCCAAAAAAAATCTTGCAATTTAAAAATAATGCCTGGCTTTAAATAACCTTCAAAATGGTCTTTATCGTTACGCCTCTTGATTCTTTGGGGAACATAGGGCCGCAACAACACCTCTCCGATGGACGCTGTTCCACTTCAGCTAGGCTCATGTCGTACTGGCTGCCTTCAGCTCTGCCTCAACACTTCTGCGTCAAGTCTGTTTTGGTCGACCCACTTTTGGCTTCCCTTGTGGATTCCAGTAAAGGGCCTGCCTGGTTCCACAAGAAGCAGGTTTTCGGAGTTTTGTGGCCGATCCATCACCGCTTTCGTTTCTTGATGTCAATCTCGATTGGGGTTTGTGTGGTCCTGTCCCACAGTTGGTCGTTGGAGACGACTTCCGGCCACCTGATATTGAGGATGTTCCTGAGACATCGGTTGGTAAATGCCTGGAGTTTGATGGTGTTGGTTTGTGTTATGGTAAGTTACCCACGCACGCATGTACTCAGCCAGCTATAAATAAGAGCAGGTACTGCCTTTTGGAGAAAGAAGTTTCTTGCAGTCAGCTCTGACAGTAGGACTAAACATTCTTGCTGTAACACACTCGTTTGTATATGATTGTATGATTGTTTCTGTTAATATATTTGTTTAAATCAATTCATCTCTTTGTGTCGTTATTTCGAGCACTAACAAGGCTACATCAGTTTGGTTACCCGTTTGGTTTCTGAGCCGTATTATAGGACCGTTGGTTTTGAAGATCTGGATTCTGTTGTGAAGTGAAAGGGCTGTTGATCTCCAGATTCGCCGCAGAGTGTTCAAAACATGTCAGGCTTTGTTGATTTGGCTCTTGATGTCTTCATCTGTCCCCCCCCATCTTTAGTGATGACACTTCTCAGATAGACAAACTTATCGATTTCTTTGATGTCTTCCTAGTGTAGTCACACTGGCCTTCAAATGGTTGATGAGCCGTAAATATCAAATTAGTCAATCAATTATACTCTTTCAAAACTAGGTAGTACGGATATGGGATATCCAGACCATATATGGTAGCACAGTGCAATATTTGCTCTTATCTGACGCATTTAAAGATAGAGCATTGCAGGAGAAGTCTAGTACCTCCCGGAGCATGCAAAAATCTGATATTGTCATGATGACATATTTTTCCAGGTTTTATTAAAAGTAGAATACTGTCGCATATGAGAATTTAAATATTTTTCTATTCTTGGACCTATATCTAGATCTTTACTTGAATCCATTTTCTTTATTATTCTGGATTCGGAAGCCATTTTGAACAATTCATCATTGCAAAGGAACTGGTACTTGGAATCGCTTACGCAATAGACATAACTCTAGTACAAGAAAACGTTACCGTAAATACTCAACTAGTCTTGGCATAGTAGATATAGAGTTTATATACAAAAAGATGAAATAAAAAGAAGATGCATATTGTCTTTAGGAAGAAATAACTTACGTTTAGGGTTTTCATCTTCTGATTCGTGGTTTAGGATTTCAAATTTATTTTTAGCGTTTGGCGATTCGAAATTTTTGGTGTTCTCTGTGAATTTAAATTTGTGAAATTGTTAAAATTTGAGCTGACCAAATGAATTTATAAAATTAACTGAAGTAAAGATAGATTTAGTAGTTTATATCTGGCCACTTGTATACCCGTCTACAAATCCTTCATTTGTGCTTATTCGACTCCCAACTGTGGTTTATACTGCAACTATGCTGAACAGACCTTAGTTACTGAGAAAGAGCATGTTATCTAGCGTGATCAACAATGTGAACAAGGATTGGGTCAACACGTATGGTTTTGCTACCAGTGCGATGATATCGTTCTTGACAAATCGACCATGGTGAGATTCGAACCCAGGTCTCATGGTCAGAATACGAACATTCTAACCACTCGGCCACGCGCCCATTATTCAGAAGTGTATCGCTATTAATTTCTACATTCCTCTTGATTTTGTATTTTACAACGATTTTTCTTTCCTATTCTTTTTTTTATTCAGGGATACATATATATTGATCGTGTACAGGTCATTCTAGAAATATTCGGTTGATCAGGGAAATATAAACATTGGATGTTCTAGGGGTATTTAGTTGGATCGGGGAACGGTAAACACAGGATGTTTTGATTTGATTCTAGAAGAATTCGGTTAATCGAGCAACGGTAAACATTGATCTGCTATATTTGATTCAAGAAGAATTCGGTTGGTCGGGTAACGATAAATATTAATTTGTTATATGTGATTCTAGAAGAATTTGATTGAATCGGTTAGAGGTAGAAGTTGCTCGTTTACATGTTGTTCTCGAAGAACCGTTCAGCCGGGGATAGACAAACATTAGTGGTATATATTTGAGTCTAGGAGCACTTAGGCGAATCAGAGAAAGTAAACACTAGTTTATATTAGATTGTAGAAGTATTTATTTTAGATTAGTAAAAGTAAACATGTGCCGTTTGTATCTGATTGTAGACACATTTGATTGATCGGTAAAAGATAAATATTGGTTGTTTTTATTTGATTCTAGTAGCATTTGGTTGATCAGGGAAAGGTAAACATTGGCCGTCTATATTTGATTTTAGAAATATTATATTAGATCGGAGAACGGAAATTATAGGTACTTTTATTAATTCAAGAAGCATTCTTTTACTCGATGTGGCCATTTATTTGATTCTTGAAGTATTTATTTGAATCGGGAAAAGTAAATTTGTATATTTTATTCAAGAACTATTTGGTTGTATCTGTGAATGATAAATATTGGTCATTTATATTTTATTCTAGAAACATTTGTTTAGATTAGGGAAAGGTAAATATTGGTCTTTTGTATATAATTCTAGAAACCTTTGAGTTTGTCCGGGAAAGGTAAATAATTGTTGTTCTTCTTTTATTCCAGAATCATTTCTTGGTTCCGGTAAAGTTAAACATTGGTCATTTATGTGATTCTAGTAACATTTGGTTGAATCGGGGAAAGGTAAAAAAATTCTTATATTTGATTCTAGGAGCATTTTTGGAATCGGTGGACCGTTAAAATTACCCGTTTATATTCGAGTCAGGGGAGAGTATGATATATATATATATATATATATATATATATATATATATATATATATATATATATATATATGTTTTTTTTTTTTTTTTTACATTCAACATCATCACTTGATAAGACACCAGAGGTGTTGAAACAAAGTGGCTATTTTGTAGTGATTTTATAACATATTTATGTTATAATTTTAAATAAATAATTATATCTGCTCTACTCTGTATTGAGCACTCTTTTAAGAATAGTAATTGTTGGTTATTGGAATTCATTCCGTATACACCAATCATATACTTGTATATATATATATATATATATATATATATGAGAGTATGATGTAAATATATATATATATATATATATATATATATATATGAGAGAGTATATATATATATGAGAGAGTATGATGTATATATATATATATATATATATATATATGAGGATATATATATATATATATATATATATATATATATATATATATATATATATATATATATATATTAGGTTGGTGCAAAAAATGCCGTAATTCCCCATGTATAATTCCCATTTTTTTCTAAAAAAAAATAATAAGCAAAATCAGGGGTGCGTATTATGGACAGCTACAAAAAATCTTTAAAAAATTGCCGTAAAATAAGGATTATCATAAAACTAAATTAGAATAATATTATTCTATGTTTAAAACCATTTTTAAATAAGAGTAGGAAACGCTGGCCGTAATGGAATTGGAGAGGTACAATTTATAGGGTTTGATTACCAAACAAGGTGTGCGTATTATACATGAGTAGACGCATTTTCCCCACATTTTCAACACAATTTGAGCGATGCGTATTATGGATGAAGGTGTATTATTCATGAGAAATTACAGTATATCTAGTTTATATTTGAGTCTATATGCATTTATTACATCGGCATAATTAAATATTGGTAATTTATATTTGTGTATATAAGCATTTTCTTGTTTTGGGTAAAGGTAAATATTGACCGCTTAGATTTTAATATATACGCATTTATTTACTTTGTGAATTGATATATATTTCTCCTTTAAATTTGAGTCTATAAACATTTACTTGGTTCGTGAATAAGAAAATATTGGTCATTCATATCTGAGTCTGTAATCATTTGTAATTTATTTGTTTTTGGAATAAACAAATATCAGTCGTACACATTTGAATGGACATATTCCTCATACTACGTAAGGCTCTTTCAATTTATGAAGTAAACTCAATTCTGGTCCCACACTTTACACAGGAGTTTAATCTTTATGGTCTAGAAAGCTGGGACGATGAGAGCGAGATTCACAGATCTTAGAAACCCTGGCAAATAGTCTATGTAGGAGACGATCACTCTGATATAATATCAGTGTTATTGCCTCCTAAATGAACTGCCTGCCAGGGATTGTGAGCTCTGTCTACCCGAGTTTAGACACAGTGAAACAAGCCGTGTCATCATAGTAACGCAGTAACAACACAGGATCAAACGTTCCCCTGCAGGCGTTGTGTATGGAACTGCCTGTCCGGAATTAGGCTGATCGGCTAGCTTTGAGTCTGTAGTAGACGTGGACAGATCTCTGGCGAGATATTTGAACACGATATCAAAG